TAGGATTTCCGGCTCGATATATATAAAAGAATTTTAATTAAGCCAGCCTGGCATTTTGACCATTTGTCATACTGGCACCTTGACAAACTGGCGCCGTGACAACCTGGCAAATGATCGTCAAAGGGACTAACTATAATTATCAAGAACGATTTTCAAGCGAAGTTATGAAGATCTCGGCCGGAATTACATTTAATTGTAAAATGATGTCGTCTAATAAAAATAGTGCGGGCGTAGGTGGCGCGTTAATCTTTAATTTTCTGCGTGTTGTAATAATTATTGTAGACTATATTTGTTGTATGATACCCATGAAATACAAAAAGAAAAGGGCAAGTTCATGCGTTCAGTTTTTTTATGGAAGGAAATAATTAAATAGATAGCATGTCCGAAGAATGCATTGCCAATGATGGATGGCAGTTAATCGATTGACTTTAAACATCTGCAAAGGCTTATTTTTACATGATATAAAGTATGTATAGATTTCAAAAATCCAAGGTATATGTCATTTCAATGAAGAGATATCAAACGTAAAAGAAGATTATTGTTTAGTCATCTATCGCAGCTAGTATATCAAGAATTTTATTGATATCCGAATGTGACCAGAGTCCAGTAGCATAACTTGAGTCCTTAAGTTTCGTTCTCATCAATCGTTTCTTCAATTATTTCTTATCAGTAAATCCATCATTTATAATTTCTTCATCATTCAGCTCTTATTATTATTCACTTGAGGTTTAGTTAATGGTATCAATTTTCCTATGAAAATTTATTTGTCTTTCCTTTTCGGCAATTGTTAAATTCATGCACCATTAAAATCCGAACGTAACACATAAATTGTTACAGAGGGAGGATATTCTAAAGAACGCTTTACGATATTTTTAGCATATAAAACTTAACGGTTGGTTATCACACAAAATTAATTAATAGAGAATTTTGCTTCACATGTCGACAAATAATTTAGTTATAAAAGTAGCATGAAAAAGCACTTTCTCTATTGTTCAACTTCCTTTCAACAAATATTTCTTTTTCATTCAACCTAAAAGATCTTGCATTCACAAATAAAAATAAAAATCAATTATGAAAATTCAAAGCTTCGTATGTTATGCATATATAATTTTATTTTATTTTTATTTTATTTATTTATTTATTTTTTTTTTTTTTAGGTTAACAAAAAGAAAACTAACACTTTAAGCCAACTTCCGCATCTCCTTGCGAGGGATCGATTTCCTAGACCTTACCACCTATCGTCGAACAAAATTCCAATGATAATCAATCGCTCCCCATCAATAAGAACACTTGATATTTTTACCAAAGACCCAATACCTTGTATTCCTCTCCAAATTCCTCAGTATTCTCTTTCCCAGCGTGTCAGTCGAACCAAATTCGAAATTCCAAACCATACTATCTTCCTGCAATAGAACGAATCCCAATAACAACACATACAACTATTTTAATTCCTGTAATCCGTACCGTCAATATCCCCTCCATTTCTGCGACCTCAATTCCACCGGTACAGAACAACGCTGAATCTAATTCCGATAATTAATTCTTTACCGCCGACGATTCTATGTTAGAATTGATTTCAAGGAAAATTATCTTGATGAATATTGATTGGGCTGAAAAAAAAAAAGGTAAACGGAGGCAAAGAAAACGTTATTTTGGTTAAGTATAAGAATCTATTTGCTAGTAATGAGCTATTCAAATGATAATTTTTTTGCTTTATTATATGTGCTGTATGTCAGTATGTCTCAATTTTTTTTAATTATAATGACCTGATATAATATTTATTGTGTAGAGCTATAATGTTAAATAAAATACTATAAAACTACTAATGGTCCTTTGTATCATTATGTGATTTGGAAAGTTATTTCTTTGATTCATAAATTAATCTCGTCTTGTCAGCACAAATTTATTTTATCATTTTGCAAAATCATTTTTTTTTCACAGGGGGTAAGTTGAATCTAATTGGCTTTATGAAAACCTTTCATACACTTAATTTATTTATTACGACATTTAAGGTTCATTTATACAAAATATTCTTAAAAAATAGAAAATATATATGACAAGCATAGAATTTTGTAAAACATTTTTTTTTTTATTATATGTATTACCGAAAGTATGTATCGAAAAATAAAATGGTGCGGTGCGAATAAAAGGTATGCGTTAAAAATGCGTTAAAGTTGTGAGTTAAAAGTATACGTTGTGCGAAATATGTGAGGAATTTCAAATTGTGATATTCGAAAATGTCATGAGAAAGGAAAAAAAAATCAAATCGTTTCGTAATGCAAAATCTAAAAATAAGGGGAAGAAGATGATTACGCATCGGAAGAATTAGGAAAAATTATTTGGTTGCGGGAAAAAAAAAAAAATACACAATTTAGGTGATGGAAGATTTAAAAAAACATTCTATAGGACTTATGTAAGAGTGAATAAACCTGTGAAAAAACATTGCTGTTGGGATCAAACATTCAGATCGATTCATTGGTCTAAAGAATAGAATTTTATCACCGCACATTTTTGTTAAGTGGATCACAAGGACACTACTCTTTTGTAGCACGTCCGGAATGTGAGACAGGTTACGCCGATGATGGAATCATCGGATCTTAAATTCCTGCCAAGTAAATCATAACCAAAAAAGAATAAACATTGGATAATCCTTAACCGGGACTTTATGGGTACTTGATTTAAAAAAATTTTGTATTACCAAAATAATTACTATCGATATTTTTAATTAAAGCGTTAAAAATATCAATAATAATAGTTTATTTATAGCTTAATCTAATAATATCAGTTCATTAAAAATAGTATAATAAAACATATACAGAACAATATGATATTACTATAATTCATTCAATGAACCTTTTTCATGTTTTTCATTTGAAAAAAAGATTATCATCCTCTTTTTTTAATTCGGCTAACTTTTTCCGAATAATGTTGCGTTATGCAATACGATGCATCATCGCCTTGATTTATATATAAAAGCAACACTTCTTGGTCTCGTAAGCACCAAAAAAAAAAATTTCACAAAAAAAATTCTCTTTATTTTCTAAAAAAATGTACATTCCTAACGACACTAAAAAAATACCTTGTCATTTGCTGACAACTCTAAAATTATACACAGTATGTATCAATTATCCAATTTTTGAAACGGTAAAATTTATATTTCTAAGCAAATGCGACCGTCCAAGCTTTTTGGAAAAGAAGCCGGCCGAATAGCCGATATTTATGGCTCTCTCTCTCCAGAGGAGGAGGAATTGTTCTTTTACAATTATCCCAAATAGTAGGGTTGAAGAGATAAGGTTTATTTTACATTTTGGTGTAGAATTTGTATATAGTTAAGGTTTATTTTACATTTTGAAGAAGAATTGTATATAGTTTATTAGTAAAAGGTTGTTTCTGAGACAGTTGGAACAATAGAAAATATAATAAGGACGGGACGGAGGTGATGAATGAAATTAATTTTGGAAGGAAATTCACAATGCGTGCATTTATAGGAAGTTAATTATAAGGTAGTTTCTTGATCACTTAATGTATCTTAAAATTAATAAAGAAAATATCATAGTTTGTTGTACCCCAAATGCGTTGATGTTCCAATTGCGCATTCCTATTTGGTATCAACATTTCGGACATCAACGCATTTGGGGTACAACAGCATCAGCAAATCATAATTGTCGCTGCTCCACGTGTAATAATTATATTAAATTTTCAATAGACTTATTATTTACTTAAGGAAAAGATGTAACATTTTTTTAGGTTTTAGACGAGAAAATAAGTTATCCCAAATTTTTTTTATATTTTATTAAAATCATAAAGTACAAAAGATAAATAGCTTTTCTCTCTTCTTTCAAAAATTACATCTTTGATAATAATTTCTTCTTTTACTCCTCCCTTTTTATGCTGAGTTAAAGTTTCATATATGTATGTTTCAAAATTTGCTTATATTTTACAGTATATATCCTTTTGCGCGGCTGCATAGCATTTTTGCTAGTTTATATTTCCTATGATTATTCACGTGCGTAATTTTCGGTCATAATTAATGTTGCGAGGCAAAACCCTATTTCCATATTGCCAAAAGTCGAAACCTTAACCTCCCGGGCTTTTGCAAGAGTACATTGTCTTACTCTTTGATCTACATCAGAAAAAATTTTCAGGGGTTATATATCAATGTTTATCACTTTATCGGTAATTATCACATTTTATCTGCAATAATATATCGATGATTAAAAAATTAGACAATTATTCATAAAATATTTGCGATATAGATAAATAATGATAAAAATCCATATGTTAATTATTGTTAAATTAGGATATTGAAAAATAATAAAAAATCCCCTGTTAAATAACGAAAATTATGATATTGATAAATAATGAAATAAATCCATATGGGGCTAAGTTATTAAAATCACCTTACGGGATAAGAAATTGATTTTGAGTAAATGATGATTACAAAAATGCTACGCTACAGTAAACATTTCCAACCAATAATAAATTGTTCTATTTTTAAATTTTGAGTCGAATTAATTAATGATACTAAAATTTATTATTTAAAATTTTTACTATTAAATTATTAATTTTAAAATTTTTTGCTATTATAAAATATATAAATTTTATTATTAAATTATTTTTTTTTTTTTTTTTTTTTTTTTTAACGATGTGGCACTGCCAATAACTTTATTAAATTTATTTTAGAAGAAATACAAAGTAAATCAATAAATCTAGACTAAGTACTAGCTATCCCCCGTAGTTATATTACAAACCCGTTTGAATCGACCGATCATCGTCTTCCCCCTCCAACAAGTCCACTAAGTATATACCTAATGAAGATTGCTATCAACAAGAGAAGAAAAAGAAGGAGTCAGTGCCTATTTAAATTATTTTACAAGAATAATTTTTGTAATACTTGAATTCAATTTCGTAACACTTGAGATTTTGCTATTAATCACCCTATGGGACATTGTAACACTAATTTATCAATTTTTAAATGAAATTATTTTATATTTATTACCTTGCAAAAAGAAAAAAAAAATTTTTATATTTATTATTTATTTTTAAAAAAAAAAAATTTGTTGGGGTATTAAATACCCCTAGACTTCCCATTCAATTATATTAATAATGGTAAAGTTAAAAAATTTTGAATTTTATAAGGATTCAAAACTTTTTTAATATTTAATAATGTTGATCATTTCCTAATTCTAATTTTAAATCTTTTTAACTGATATTACACAAAAAAAATGAGAGATTTTGACAGCCTAATTGCTTTGCTTTATTAATAAAATAATCGACTATAAAAATTTAACCAAATAAAAGTTCATATATCATATATTAATATGAATCAATAATCTTAATTTTGGTTAGTAAAATCCCATAAGGTGATTTTAATAGCTTAGCTTCATATGTTAAATAACAAAAAATTACATTATTAATATTTATTAAAAAATATTATTATTATAACAATGCATTAATCACTCTAAATAGTTAAGTATTATATTATATTCTAAGATATTATCATTATAAAGTTTTATCTAAATAATTAATACCTTAATAGATTTATACTAAAAAATGAACTCACACTAAAAATGATTTTTTTTAAATTAATAATTTTTTTGACTTTTCTAAAATAATTAAGGTTTATCTTATTATTTATTTTTATTTTATTTTATTATCTTATTATATTCATCTATATTATTTTTATTATCTCATATTTTCTTCTCTACTAATATAAGAAGATTTTTTTACAGAAATAAAAAATTAATTAACTGATGATATTTTATCACAAATTTATTGGTAATACATCAATAACATGTTTAATTTTTATTATTATTCTTATAAAAAATTCAAATATTATATGATTAGTAATATGTATAATATCTTTCATTATTAATAATAAAAAATTTTAAAGAATTAAATAGTTTGTAAAAATCTATCTATTAGTATTATTTAAAATAGACTCTAAAATAAATTTTTAAAATCTTTAATAAATAACCATAACCTTATATAAATAATCCTTTATTTGCTCTTTTTTTTAACCAATTTTTATAAACATTTGTTTAAAATTTAAAAATAATTTTCTGCTTTTATGATATATAATAAAATAAAAAAATCATAAATTATAAAAATAATAAGTGAAAAATATCATATATTTCTTTTTTTTTAAATATATTTATCAAAGTTTAAAATTAATTTAATAGCATAGGTTAGGTAGTTATAAATAAGTAACTCATTTTTTATTTGGTATGTAATTAGTATTCTTATTATAAACAAATTATTAAACCTAAAAACTTTGCTAAATATATTTAAATAGTAGATGCTATAAAGTAAAATATTTTTTATAATGATTAACTTTTTCTAAGAATGTTAATGATTAAAGATAAATTAGTTTTAAACTAGTTGTATAACTAAACTGATTCAGTTTAGTTTTAAGATTAAAAATCACAATAAATATCAGTTTTTATCACGTGATTCAATATGGTTAGACCATTAGTTCAACTGACAGTTTAACTAAATTTTTAGCTACAGTTTCAACCATAATTGATAACTTATTTAGAA